GGGGGGGGAGCGGAAGGTGAACGGATTAGGCCAGAAGACCGTAAGCCCTTTATCCACCAGGACGCATTGACTCCTCGAGTGAATATCATCAGACTTTTAAATCACAGGGCATGGGTGACAACGTCTCAGGTGGCGAACCAAATGTTAAGGTCTACTGACGCATAGCGCTAAAATGTAAATAGTTGTCGCAAAAATAGGCATGAAATGTGCTTGCGCTATTGGAATTGTAGTGTAAATTTTCACGAAATAATGTCTGAAATGTGGGCGTAAAGCCTATTTTGAGAATAATAATGCATCTTGATTTACAACAAACCTCTGAATCGAATGCCGTTTTCTTTTGTTTTAATATGGCTCTATCGGTTGTTGAATTTTTAAACTGTAGCAAAGTCCACACAGTTAACGATGTTTTCGAATGGAAAATTTATAGAGCTAGCACCTTCCAAATTGTTTTTTTTCAATTTTTGTCCTTTAGAAAAAACTCCAACCCAGCAAGATGTCTGTGATGTTCTTCGAAGTTTGGAATACGCACTGAAGAATGGAAAATCCAAGCCGGTGGAAGTCCTACGATTAGCTACAGAAGTTTCTTCTTCCCTAAATGCTCTTCGTTTCACTTCTTGCAAGTCGGCTAAAGACCGTACCGCAATGTCCGTGTCCCTTGAGCAGGTTCGATGGCTTAAAGTAAGTGGTCAAACTTCATCCCAACAGGTTGTCTCCCACTAATTTTTACATGAATGTGTGCTGGTGATGCAGTATTAGAAAACCTATCGAGTCAGGCGTCATGGTCTAGAGACTTATTGGTACTTATTTGTGACAGAAAGGATAGTCAGTATTATTTATATCAAATGGCAGGCATTTAGATAGTTATCACTAGCCCTTTAGTTGACTTCAGGCTTCACAGAGGAGGAGGAACGTCAAAGTGAAACAAATCGAGAGGGAGAGGGGGAACAGAAGAGAGTTTCAAAGATGTAAAAGAGACAGACACAAAAGTGGAAAAAGGTGAGGTGAGTACTGTGGAAGTAGTCGAATATGACATACAATCTGGTGAGGGCAGTTTGAAGTGAGAAGTCAACTGCCGGTTTATAGACTTTGTTGGCGTATGAGTATACGTTGCCCAGGGTGCACCACGTGGAGGTAAGTCTATCGCACACCCCAGGATAGTCAGTATTGTAGTCGGGAAAGTGATTCAAAGTGCTCCCTCGTATTCCAGATGAGGGTGGGATTGATAAGTGACCTTTAGAGTGTCCCATTTGAAATGGGTTGGATTCGGTTTTCGTTAATGATCTGAAAATTGATTAATTATATTAGTGTTTACTAATCACTGTCTTAATCTATTTTTCTTGGAATCTGTCAATTAATTAACGCCTGTAAGATTCCAAAATTTTGTATTGTGCATTATCCTTTAAATGGTATTTTATTAAATTATCCTTTTATACTGAAGGCTTAAATAACATTACAACGAATATGATATTGAGTTCACAATAACATAACTATGTTATTAGATGAGATCATCACAAGAAATTCGAATAATAATGAAAATATTCCAATTATTAAGACTTTCAATTTTGTTTAATGCAAATAATAAGGTCAGGCCGATCTAATTTGGCAATCTTCTTATCATTGCAGGATGTTGAAGGAATGCACAAAGATAGCTTCTCTCCAGCTCTAAAGTGCCTACGAAGCACCGGTTTGCGACTGAGCAATGTAGAGAAGAATGTGAATATACGGAAGTACAATTTCACTCGTCTCCAACTTCTCTCGTTTCCCAAAGCCTATCGGCCCCCTGTAGGCACCTACTCTATGCATGTCCAATCTTGATTTGGGTAACTTCTACTTTTAAAACATAAGTAGGATATATTTTACATCATTCCTTTATTAATTCGTAGTGCTTCTTCTTTTAGATCTTACTGCTTCTGTGAAATCCAACAGGCCATATATTTTTGTATTATTCAGATGCTGTACTTTGACAAATAATTTAATAGATTTATCTTAAGCTATCAGTCTTCATCCTTGTTCTTGTTTCGTCTGCAAATTCGGAATCAGAATGGAGGTTTACCTCATTACTTGGATAGGACTCTCATATACAGCGGAATTAACTTCTCGGATTGGAAATCCACTCTTTATCAGTGCCTTGTCAAAAGAATGCAATTGTCACCTTGAGGTAGCTGTATTCATTCTATTGCTTCGATGGGCACCTATGAATATCATAAAAATCGAAATTGCTTGAGCAATCTAATGTTATCGAAGTGAATGTCTGAAGTAGTTAGGCCCTATTACGCCTCCTTAGTCCATAAATGGTTGAGCAGACTACTACGATCCCCAACACCGAGAACGAATCACAGGAAATGTAGCTATGTGATATCAGTCACCATTTGTTCTTGGCCAAAATCGTTATTTAATTTTGCGAATTCCTTCCCATTAATTGAAACGGCAATTAGTTTTTTTTACATTGTTAAGCTTATTGGGTTCTAATAAGTTCTTGGTAGAACAACTATGCTTACTTTACACCTTCTAGCTTTGCTATCAACTGAAATTTTACTCTGGCAGTTAATGACGCCTCTTCTTCTGACATACTGGGGTGTGGGATAGACTTACCTCCACGTGGTGCACCCTGGGCAACGAATATTCATACGGCAGAAGTCTATTAACTGGCAGTTGACTTCTCACTTCAAACTGCCCTCACCAGATTGTATGTCATATTCGACTACTTCCACAGTACTCACCTCACCTTTTCTACCTTTTGTGTTTGTCTTTTACATCTTTGAAACACTTCTCTTCCCTCCCCCCCTGTCGACTTTTTCCAATTTGATGCTCTTCCTCCCCTCTGTGAAGCCTGAAGTCAACTAAAGGGCTAATGATAACCATCAAGACGCCTGCCGTTTGATACAAATAACTATTCTGACATACTTGAAACAACTACATTCGAGTTGGGCCTACCTAGGTAGATCTGCTTTCTTATTTCATGCTATGAAACTGGACCTATCCATTCACTGTAACCACAGAATGGTTAATAGTGAAAAGCTAACGTTTGCAGTTAGTTCCAAATCAAATACCACATTTCCATTAGTCTTTAATCTATATCATCCAGCAAGTTTCTGACGGAACAGAAACGTAACATAACCGGTAATTCCATGAATCTTATCCCAGTGACGTTATTTAAATGGAGGTAGACATTGTACATATTATATAATAGAGGCATTATGTGAGGATGAGATACACAGAATGATGGTTGTGAAATTGCCATCAGAAAAGGTGTGTGGGGAGGGGGGGGGGAGTAACCAACAGTCATGAATGGGGAAACAAAGCCAATAGTCAAAAATGCTCCTACGCCCTTCGATTTAGCCGCTTGTTCAGCGATTCCGCATAGGCCGAATGCAATTTACTGAGTAAATCATCATCAGTCTAAAGGAGAGAAACAACACAATAAAGATAAAATAAAACTGTAGATAGAAGACGGCAAGGAACCTCTAGGTCTTGTCGATACAACTGAGGACCTCGACAAGCTAGACGGAATAACAGAATACAGCTGATCATCCAAGCAATACAATCGTATAGGAATTAGAAATGAGGATTTTATTAGTATACTAAACAACATTTTGCCTAAGGAATTCGTTCCTAGCATATTGAATCGCTTGACTATTATTTTCGAGCTCGTATCAATGAGTAAAACCTTTTCAGTGCCACATTACGGATTAGCCAGAGAGCCAATTAATATTTCGAACATAAATATAGTGGGCTATTTGTCCCAATTTTCGTACCCTAAACCAAAGCCATATCAGTAAAACACCGAGTATAGACAATTGTTCGATCATCGTGCGGAAACACGAATGTCAGAGCTCTGTAAATGCCCATCCACTACTAAATATTTATTCAAACTGTTCAAAGTATTCGCCAGAATAATCTAAACAATAGAGGAGTGAATTAAACGATAACATAGTATATGGCCTTGTATTCTACTAAAATGCTGATTAAAACAAAATTTTGAAGCTGCTAGCAGGGAAGAGACACTTTATCCTCCCCCCTCCCCCTTGGAACCTGCTAGTTTATGTAATTTCGCAGAATTAAAAGCTTAGCAATAAGCTTTAGAGAAAATTACCATAATAGGGATTGAAATGGACAAGGTCATTGCATGAGCTAGAAAAGAGTTGTAAGGTCACTGGATTTAGAAGACGCCTGAAACCAGAAATTTCTGCATTCAAATCACGTCAATGAGATTGTGGTCAGGAGGTGCGTATATTCACAGCACACTAAGACATGACACGAATTTGTACGACACATGGCTAGTTCTGGTCAATCAACTTTTATTAGGCTGTCAAAAGTGGCTTGAACTAAAAATGATTTTGCCCCTTACAATCTAGCAAATGAGTTAATCTGCCGATGCCAATTTTAAACTAAATGATGCAACAAAGTCAAGACTACCCACATTTTTTAGATGACATACTAAATGCCTGTTGGAGCAGACCATCAGTGATCCTCAAAGCAAGAATCAAGCGGAGAATGAATTCGGGAAGCAATTTGATAGCTCAATTGCATTGCTGATATCTCAAGTCGCCCGATTCATATGAATTCAGAGCCATGAAGCACAATGAATATAACTTAAAAGAGAATAACTTTCTAATCTTGTTTTCAAATGTTCTATTTCTTATAGGAGAACGGTTCCATGGCACCTTCCATCTGTCCAAAACCGGGGTGCGCGATAGACTTACCTCAACGAGGTGCAACCTGGGCAACGTATATTCATACGGCAAAAAAGTCTATTAACCGGCAGTTGACTTCTCACTTCAAACTACCCGCTGTATGCCCCATTCGACCACTTTCACAGTATTCATCTCACCTTACTTTTTTCTCAACCCATGTGCGTGTTCGTCTCTTTTACATACATGAATCACTCTTCTGTCCCCCCCCCCCCAACTGTTTGTGACTTCGATGTTCCTCCCCTCTGTGAAGCCCGAAGTGAACTAAAGGAAAACACTCATAAAGCCTGCCATTTGTTATAAATAATAAATGATAGATAATCACCTATTAGTACCCTCAAATTTGAACATAATATGATTTCCACCGTAGTAACAAACCGGGGACTATGTCCAAAATTAGGGAAACTACCAAGGTAGCCGAATTCTCCCACCCCTCCACTAATGCCCAGAAATTGAGAAGTGATTGAAAATGAGCTCTATAATTGGGAAAAGGCTCACCTCAATAAGATGAATAAGAGCGGCTTTGAATTGATTCTTGCTTAAGCCCTCAACACTTGGCGATTTGTCGCCATGGGAGCTATCCTGAATGCGTAAGCGTCTCAAGAGTTCTTCGTTGATCTTATCATTGTCATCACTTTTTACTGCATGTACTAAAAGAGAAAAAAATAAACTTGGGTATTTCATCCCTTTCACTTATCTCACGACTCGAAAAAGCAATGAAACTATATGATAACTCTGAATAAATCTACGGTCAAAATGACGGTAAAGCCAATACAAAACGGACAATTCGCATCAACGCTTATTCTTAAATAGAACGTCATAAAATAGGATGAAAAAGATCATAACTGAAGAAAATTCACACCTGGTGTTTCAGTAACACTGTTATCTAATTTTGATGTTGTTGCAGCAGAAGCCTTGAATGACTTCTCCAAATCTGAGGCGAATTGACAATCCCCGAATCCCGGTGTCAGTGGTAAAGCGTCCAAAGCACTGAAACAAAAACAGAGAAGGGAAATAGAAGCAACCTGTTTGAGCTGAGTAGAGTTAAGTTAATTCTAGCTGGAAACCATGGATAACTTCAAAAATTGCTTGAAGATTTGAATATGTGCTTTTTAAATACGTTAATCATGGATTCTACCAACACTTGTAAGTACTAAAACTGCTTACTACACAATTTTATATGAAGCAGGTACAAACAAATCGGAACCATGAATAACAAATCGCATAAATCAATAAGGTTCAAATAAAGATTTCTCTATCAGATTTTGTAGAGTAGTAGATTGTATCGTTCAATAAAAATGAGACCCACAAAAGCTTTTTAAATCGACAATATTGAGTTTCGAGCACATTAATAAATGAACGTTACATCAAATATTCATGCAAAACACATGGCAACGTACATATCTTGCAATTGAAATTTTAAAGACTTAGAAGGGTCAAAAGCCGGAGCAATGGGATGTATTGCATCTAAGGAAGAAAACATAAAAGAAGTAATAACAAAAATAGCATAAACAACTTGAAAATAGGACTTAAGTGGACCAACCATCTCCATTCGAGCGATTCTAATTAAAATGAAAAAAGAATGCGGTAAACAATAATAGTGTGAAAATTAATGCAAAAAAATTTTGATACGACATACATATTCTTCGGTAGCGAAAGATAATAAATCTTTAATATTGGAAGCCTTCGGCGCAAAGTTACAAACAGGAGCTAAAGTTGTCGATTGCTTGTTGGACGTAAGAACATTTGATGGAATCACCGTTCTTTCCTTCAAGGTAGCTTTATTAATGAGTCTGAAAAAGCACAATTTAAAATTCAAAGCCCATAAACAAAGACAGAGTCCGATTATCAACTAAGTACCCTTTTAAAAGATTGTAAATACGCTCAGTGTCGATTGAGGAGAAGAACCACAAAGAAAATACACTTTTCGTTGTTCTGAAGAATATGTGGGGCGGACGTAACAAAAGCTCAATACTAGATGTAAGAGGTTGGGTATAATTTTTGCTTGAATTTTGCCGATTCACGATGTAAAAAGCGAAGTAGGGTTGTGAAGATCGTTCAACAGCAAAAAGAACACCACCAATGTCGCTTTTTTCCTATTAATTCTATAAAAATTGGAAAAATAAAAGCACACCCATTCGGATTTTTCTTTATTGTAAGTGTATAAATGTACACACTGCGATTTATCAATGACTTTCAAGCAGTCTTTATCAAACATCTCAATACATGCCAAATCGATTGAAGAATCGTCCATTCTGGGCAAAAGAGAAACGGTCAAAATGTTTTCAAATGTTGCATAAGCTTGAACAAAAGTGACTCAACGAATTAAAGACATTCGTTCAAAATATAATTAAATTCAAAATTAAATTCAATATTTTCTTTATCAAATATTTTATTCTGAATATTTTCGGTTTTATTAATTTTTTCAACATAACTTAATCATATCTCAATATTCACAAGAAACTCATAATTTCAAGTCTATGAGAGAATTGAACTTTGGCTGTTCGATGTCCTCTGCAGTAAATCCACATGATTCACAGTACATTAGCAGGTTATTATCAATTCACCATGAAGGATAAATCTTTGAGAGGCTTTCTATGGTTAACATTTCGCTAATGACAGCAATTATTATCACCTTGCTATGTCTAATTTTCATAATTGTTCCTAACTCTTAGTGGTTACCTTCCATCAGGTTTAAATGAAAATGACTGATACTAAGTATTTAAAATCTTCCATACCTGTCAAAGCTAAGATATATTCATGAGATATTAATAGCTCTTTTCCCTTTACCAACTTCGCATTCGTTATGCTTTCCTGTAATTTTCTTAAGTAATACTCAACCTTTCATAATTTTTCAAACTTGCTGAAGTAATATTTAACTATATTGTGTGTATATAATGAATTGTCAAGGGACTATGCCATATCCATTTACTACATATAGGAAAATAATATTTTGAAGAAAATAATAATTCCTTCAGCATGATTTAATCCAACTTTATCCGCACGGATTAATTTACATTACCTCTTTAAATGACGCAGAAAGTAAATATTTTAATGGTTCCTTTGGTTGCCTTATGTTGTGCTTATATTGAGTTATTTTTTGATAATTTTACAATTTCATAGAAAATATGACATTTGGCTGAGGCACTCATCTATGCAACAATTATTGATGCTTTTTCCATATGTGACTTAAGTTTTCTGTTTATAAGTCGTTTGAATAGCCATATTAAATGCAACACTCGATCAATTAATATGAAGCACAGCAGCAAGTTTATCAAATAATCTAAGATCTATTCTGATGACATATTTAGTCAAATTCTTTCGCACCTATTCAGTTATAGTGGCATATTAGGTTTACTGCAATAAGTCACCAGGCTCCAGGACAGCCAGAATTTCTCTAACTCGACAGGGGAACGGATCATGCAAAGTTCCTTAAAATTGTGCAAGACAGTGGCTGTGTATATTGACTCATTTTGACATATTAAGGATATTATTAATAATAAACAATAAGTTGTTGGCTTTTACTGGTTAAAATAATAATTTTGCCCTATAGAAACCAAATTCTATTAAAACTATAGGCGAACCTACAATAATATATAATTTAAACAAGCCTATTAGTGATCGGATATTTATCGAGATGCTCACAATATTTGGTTTATATTAAAACTTGCTAGAGGTTTATTCTGAGTCTCCCATTATTGTTCAAGCTTCATTAACTCTAGCCATATTAGTAGACTGATAACATCGTGCAGATATAGATTTCGGAGAAATGATTTGAAGAAATATCCAAGCGTTGTTTATTCGTGTCATGATTCTGAGTGGTGGAAATTTTCGTCTTCTCAATAGTTATTCAGCTCTGATTTCAGTCCTCCATTCAGACCCGTGGTTTGTGGGGAAAACTGGTTAAAGTAATGAAAACCAAGCAAATAGAGTATGGGTGATGTGCTCAACCCATATTTATTAACAAAGATGAAAGGTGTATGCTTAATGGAAATGGGAATACTTGGTTAAGAATGCGTGAATATATTTGCAATTTTCAATTTAATTCTGGGCGAGAAAAAAGAGAATTTTATTCCTATTGAGTAGCTAGTGGGCCTTTTGCTAATCGAATAATGCACCTAGTTCTTTCCATGACCTTAAAGTTGGCTTTTGCTAGAAGCTCAATCTCAATAAGATATATATAACGATGGTGAGTAAAATGAGTGTAGAAGGCTAAAAGATTGACCAAGAAACAATAGAGGTGGGTGGAATCGTCAATATTTACAAACTGTCCACTTCAATCTCTATTGACTTTCGACTCTTCTGGATATAACTAATATCCGAAATTCTCAATGGTCTATTCTCCGTGCTGACAAGTGTTTTCTTACCACTTCGAGAGATAACAATTATAGTCTATTTCCAATTGAACAGTTGAAAGGTATCTGATTACTTAAACAATCAATATAAATAAGAACGATGCCACACATATTGAAAATGGACTAACCAGTCTTTTTGAAGTGCTTACTTAAATACTCTGAGTCACTATGGCTTACTCCTCATTCCAGTGTCTTTCTTGCGTATTTGAGTTACGAATTACATTGTACGCAATATATAAAGTGCAACTCCTTCCATAATTACTTTTCACAATTAAAATCCATGTATAATATGGATTTCTTATTTAAAAAAACTAGCGGAAAAATGGAAAAATTTCTTCTTTAGAGTAGAGTTTCTGTTCTTCATTGATTATTTCTTGTATAGAGGGGTGCGCGATAGACTTACCTCCACGTGGTGCACCCTGGACAACGTATCTTCGTACGGCAAAAAGTCTATAACTCGGCATTTGATTTGACTTCGATTTATTATGATTAGATTGAAAAAGGCTATAAGAGAAATCGCCTCGTCAGGGCGAATCACAACGTCTTCAGATCCTCCAGTGGAATGCTCGAGGGATGTCGCAGGACAATAAGATCCGAGTACAGAAAATCCTACAAACCTATAATGTAGACATTTTCACAATTATGGAAGCAAACATTTCGGATGACAAACTGAAGTACTACCAATTCCCAGGTTACACCCTGTACCTTCTACCTAAATATCGGGAAGTTGCAG